CTGGCTTTGGGAATTTTCTCTGCAATGGATGCTGGTTCTCTGTTTCTCATGCACTTTATTGACAACATCTGGGCATGTTATGCTGGTTATCTTGCATTTAAAGCATGCTATATGCTCCTTATAACGATAGCAACGTAAGTATAATACACAACAGTTCTAATTAAATTGATTCATACCAGTATCGTATTTTTAAATTTATCAATTTTTTACTGAAAGTTCCCCTAGAAATAAGGTTTTTAAATAGGTTGTAACAGCAGCACATATTATTTCTAGCTTATATAAAACTATGCTTAAAATTATAAGACCTAACCATTACAACAGATTACTCCAAGTCAGAAACTACTTTATTCTGCATTCAGCTGTTCAATGGTCTATGTACAAGTATTGTCTAAATGATCAAATGACCATACACAGGTCTTCATTTAGCAAAAATATTCACTCAACTAATTAAAAGATAAGTAGGATGCACAAAAGTGCCAAAGCCAGAAAAACAGGAGATTTCTGTCAAAATAAAGCTGTTAAGCTTTAACAGCCAAGATGGAAGAGGCTTTATCCTTTATAGAATCCATTGTGCATATTAAATCACTTCCAAACTTCCCCCCATAAGTAAATTGCAAACATCCTTGATCTCCAGTTTAGTTAACCTGTACCTTCATTTTCAGGTTCCAGATTGCTGTCAATCTAAGCATGGAGCGTTATGCTTTGATGTTTGGCTTCAACAACTTTGTTGCACTGGTGATTCAGACAATTTTGACTGTTGTTGTAGTAGATTCAAAAGGTCTGGGACTGGATATCAACACCCAGGTAAGCTACCTTACACTGCTCTCAGTCCCCCTGCTCTCCTCCAAAAGAGAATTCTACTCCAAGATTCACCTTTGGGAAGATACTAGGTAATGTGTTATCTTAGGACAGTTACTCACTTGAAAACCAGGTTCATTTAAAGTGAACTGGCAGCAGCTACTACAACCTAGTTGTCCTCTATTCCTGCCAATTTTGTATTTCTGCAATAACTTTAAGAATATTTTTGTGGAGCAGAATGGAAAGATCACTACCTATTCCTCTGAGTTTGTTGTTTTGTTTTAGTTATCATTTATTTAAAGGCTTACTATTCACAAATTTATTGTCTAAAAAACCCTACCAGAAGCAGGAAGCAAGCTGAAAGGCAATCTACAGGTCTATTACTAGGGTAATTCTAAATTACAGTTTCATTGGATGCATCTTTAAATTACTGTAATTCTGAAAAATTAACTAAACCTCATGATTCCTTATTAACTTTTTAAACTTATACACAGAACAAGGTCCAAGTCTCTAGCTTTCATCTTTTCAGAGAAGAGACAGAAAGTGCAGGGCAGCTGTCCTCCTCCCTTACTGAGGAGGGGAGGGGAAGCATGTAAGAGTATTCTCTCCCCTTCCTTTTACAACCGCAGACTTCCTACAGTATGAAGTCAAGTAGCCAGACTTCTCGAATCGTTTCAAGATGGGATCATTTTGGGGCATGGATGACAGGGAAGGGAAGGTGGCAGTAGAGGGACACTCCTTAAGTCATTACCTAACAGCAAAAGCTGTCTTTGACTCTTCCTCTTCCTTACCTCCATTTCCTAGTTTTTCATTTACGGCAGCTACTTTACATTCATAGCTGGAATCTTTCTGATCAGAAGCACATACACCATTATCTCCATCAAATGCAGAAACACAAGTGTGGCTGATGAAAATATTCACCATTAACAACGGAGACAAAAAGAATGGTTGCAAGCAACAGTGCAAAAGGCTACGTCATCTGAACAGTGAATTCAGAGAAACACAATGCTCAATCAAGCAAGACTGGTCAACAGTGAAACAGCCTGTTTATGAGAGCTTGGTCAATAGGATGATGCATTTTCCCCATTTTCTTCAACAGTAGTTTAATACCAAACAATCTTCTTTTTCAATTCAAATTTAGAGAGCTGACACCAAAGCTTCTATTAATGTTCAGTGAGCACAAGCAGCAAGTACATACAGATGCCTGAATCTCACAACAGAACTTACAGACCACCTTTGAACTTCCACTTCTACTGAGTATTTAAATTAAAGGCAATTTAGTCGTAGACATAAGACCTTCAAACATTCCTAGTTTACAAATGATCACACAGTCATTTCACATTCCACACAGGCAATGCACTCCTCAAATCTGAAGTTACAGGACTGTAAGAAAAACATGTCATTATATACAGATAAACTGATACTGATGCAGTGACAGCTTTACTGTGAGTTTGTTGAAGATGTACAAATATAACACACTAACCTTCCCTTTGAGTGCATCTTTATAAGCACACGCATTATGTCCAACAACTGCCATGATCCACACGCACTTATCTTTGGAAGCAAAAAAAATCCTTAGCTAACTTCTTATTTTTAAGTCATGGGGAAACAATTCAATTTCTGTACAAGGCAGTCTTACCTAAATAACATGACTAAAAGTAGCAAATTAGGGAATGTTCTTTCAACTGTGTTCAGTAACGTCCACTTTGGAGTCAACTATATCAGATGGCAGCAAATTCCATTGTGTTCCTTTACCACAACTAACATTTGCCAAGAGTCAGAAGTAACTGATGTTTCCTCCAATTCAGCTCACAAGAAAGTAAAAGTTATTAATTCCTTTAAAAACAAACTTTTAAAAGCTGCTTGAGCTTGCCTTTATGGCACAGTAAGTTTTCCCTTCAAGAGAGCAGAATACTTCCACCATATTTATAGTTCTCTTTCAGGAATTCCAACTAAATTTGTTCCTTTTCAAATTAATTTATTTCTTCAGCATTTGTTTCAACACAGCACTTGGCAATTCGCAGCCATTAACTAGCTTTGAACTGCTGTACCTGGGCATCACATCTGCCTTGCAGAACTCAGGATGTACCTCTTACAGCATCTTCTTACACACCATAAGAGTTTACATATTAGGATTAAAAGTATTAATCTAGAAGGTCTCCAAATTAATTTCTGTATAAGAGGGCTAAAGTTATCAAGTGAAGTGCTTTAATCCTAAAGCAGAACAGGATACTAGCTAGTGGAAGTATAACTTTGTGGCAACTATACTAGTTGCATGAGCAATTGCATGAACAACTGCAGACCTTTTTAAGACAAAAACATTTACAATCATGGGTGAAGAATTCATTTTGTAAATACAGCTATTTTAAAAATCTAATCAACAAAACAGCTATAGTGTCAGCTTCTGCTCAATATAAAGGAGACTCAAAACAATAGTATGGAGTTTGACAAAATTAGCGAATGTATGCTAAACAAATGTGGTTGTCTATAGTAAAAGTTGCTAACCTTTTATCTACATTCATGCTAGTTATGAAAAATAAGGTGTTCCACTATTTCTGCAGCATAACCTAAAACTACATGCCTTGCATACTTAAATGAATTTCAGTATCTTTTAGCAGTAATCAGCTTAATTTGTACCAGAACAACAATTTCAGTCGATGCTGATCTCATTAGCCCTTGCCCAAAGCTTAATTTACACCAATTCAGATGAAGAAAGCACAGGATTGCTCCCCTTCCACAAGGCTGTTCATCTCATCAATGAGCTATTTGGTTGATTTGGTCCAGTTCCCCACAATAAGTACATTTAAACATTCCACAAGTCCTTCTGAACCCTTGCAGTTCCTCAGTTTCTACTGCATTTATGTGTTACTATCCCCAAATAGGAACGGTCAACAACAGGGAAGAACTACAGCTACTTATACTATGCCAAAAAACAGTGGCAAGAGCAAGGGCATCACAAACATCCCAGAAACCCTCAACTGCTGGGGATTTGTTTAGTGAACTTCCCAGAGAATCTTGGGAATTAAGCTATGCACCATACTCTATCCAGCAGTCCTCATCAGAAGGAAGAGACAGACCTTAAGTCTGTTTTAACTTTAAATATGCCAACAGGACAAACCCAGAGATTTAAAGTGAGGAATGCTACCATAAGCAGCTTGTTGTATAAGCTGCCTATCATCTGCTTTGGGATCTTCAAAGCCTAAAAAAAAGATAAGATACAGAAAATGCTACCTAACCCCCCAAAGGCAGGCAGCAAAAGTCAAAAGCACTGGCATAAGAGTGTTTTTACAAGCAGTGGTCAAGTCTTTCAGCTCCTCTAGAAATAAGCAGATCTAACAGTGAGGCAGACAATTACAAGCAAAATGTCTTACACTTTCAAGAATCTTCAAGTTTGTCTCAAATGGGCTTGCATATCCTTTTCTCAAAAATCATTCTGATCTTATCTATTCTTATCTTGAAAGATGTTCGAACTTCATTCTCCAGCTCATCAGAAACTGTTTAAGCTTACAGTTTATGTATTCATAATATAATTACATTACTTGCTTAGTTCTAGTATTACACTTGAACTTAAGCCAAATTATCTCTGTGTTTCAAACACCATCACCAAATGCTCTGATGCAGAATTATATTTTCCTTTAACCTTCTTACTAGTACAGACTAGATAAGCCAGACATTTTTTGCCCTCTAGAAATTCCATTCTAGTATGACAGGAAACATTCCAGTACATAAAAAAAAATAATCGATGCATTTAATATTCCCCAGGAGGTATTACTAATATATTTAATTTTTTAATAAAAAGTACTATTACATCTGCGGTATCTTGGCCTGCTATTACACATACTATTCTGATCACAACTAAGTCTTGTTCAAAGATTGTCATTAGCTACCCATAATTACGTGTCTTTTGCAAATAACCAGTTCTCCTCAGTGCTTCCAGTGTCCTTCGTTACACAGCTATTCTGTCAAAATAATCCAAGCTCACTTAATGTTTTCCTGTTCAATAGGTCACTTCATTTGAGCAAGAACAGCAAGCTTAGTCACAGGGACACAAAAACATATTCAAGTGAGGCATGCAAAAATTTTAAGTTTAACTCACCTTTAAGTAAATTGCTTTTGATAACTCATCTGTGTATGAGACTCACCATATGTACATTTTAACCCAATAAAATGTTACTGCGCATAAATAATGTTACACAATTGTGGTTTTTTTTCTAATATTTATTTTTTTCACCTGCAAACTGTAGCAAAACATGATCAGCTTTATTATGCAGACAGGTATCCCTCTAACATTAGAGATTTAGGCATGTATAAATAGAAGAGCTCTTAGGAAAGGAAAACATTTTGAGAAATGAACAAACCTTCAATTTAACTTCATGACTTCCAATACCAATGGTTAAAATGATGTCGCTCATTCATTCCAAGAGATACAACAGCACCTTAAAGTGGCTGATCTATTTCCCAGTAACATTTTTCACATAACAATGTGTTAAAGTTACAAATACTGATATGCACAAATAGCTATTTTCTAAGAAAAATATGTACAGTACTGCAGCATAATGAATGTGGTATCTGCAATAACTTATTAGCCAATTTTAATATACATGATACCGCTACTTTTTACCTGCCAGTTCACAGGTTCAAGGATGTTACCGCAGCCCTCTGTTTTGCACATTATTACCTGGTGCAGGGTTGATTTTCTTGGGTTTTGTGGTTTTTTTTTTTAATCTTTTTTTAAAGGTACACAATGCATGTTTTTATTTTTACTTCTTAAAGACTTCTTTTGTGTTTAAAGCTAATATCAGTGAAACAAGACAACAGTGCAAGAGGCGCAGAGATGTTATGTGACCACATAAGAGTTCTTTTGGGTAAAGTGTCTATAAGGCTATAAGAAAGGATTGGTTGATGAGCTTCCTGTTGGAAATTGTCCTGTTGGTGCGCCAGCCTGAGGGAAAATAAAAGAAGAAAAATAAGGCAAATATTTAAGATTTTTTCCATATTGTAAATCATAAATGCAGGATATATGAAAAAGAAAACAATCTAATAGGAAACACTTCTGGTTTATGTTGTAGTCTTTTTTTTTTGGTGGTTCTCTGAAATTACACTACTGTAAGTGCATGGCATACAAGTACCTCTGCTTTGATTTGAACAGTCTTACAAATGCCATGTCATCATAATACTGAATTGCATTTAGAAGATTCACATGCTGCCTTTCCTTATTTGAAGCTGAAAAAAAGAGAAATCTTTGTGTGTCTCTAAATTAAGTATTATAGATTATGCCTCTTCAGACATACAGAAGTTATTAATATCATGCAACAACTCGCTTACCATAAAAGGGTTACTAGATACTCCAACAGCTGCAACTTGTCCAAAAGGAGTTACTACAGGCTTTGCCTGTCCAAATGCTGCAAAACCTGCTCCTTGGAAAGATAAGTGAAAAATATTAGTACTAGTAACCAACCTTCAAAGAGTTCTTTGCCGCAACTCTCAAAAATAACTGGAAGCAGGATTGATCCTACTTAACACTATCAGTAATGCAAGTGTAAAAAATATACGGCTGGGCTTTTTGTTTGTTTTCAACTATTCAGAACTAATCAATTTTCAATTTCTACATATGCACTTTTTTCAATGCTATTTTACCATTTAAATTTAGGGAGAAAGCACTTTCCAACTTTCTCTTGCCTGTGTTCTATAAGTTAGAGAAAGTGTTCTAATCGTTTGCAGACACTCCAAAAGTGAAGACAAAACATTACTTCTTGCATAAAAATCCTTTAGGTCTGGGAATATTTATAATTTTAGTATCAGATTACGGTAAAATTTCAGTTCTGTCATCGTACACATCCAAGTCAGGAAGCTCTACTACAGAGCCAGAACTGTGGGAACCTCTCATCAATATTATTATCAAGTTCGTATAGAAATAAATATGCACCCATTATTGTTAACTCAGAGAGATAACTTTCTCCATATTTCTGACTTAAGTAAGATTATCTAAAATGTGTAGACCTACCATTTGGCTGCTGAGCAAAAGCAGTCTGTTGAGGGAAAGCTGTCTGGGTTGGGAACGTGGGCTGCTGGAAGTTGCCACTAAAACTAGTAGGAAGACTGTAGGAGGCAGGAGTTCCAAATCCTGCAGGCATGCTCATGGATGCAGTACCAAATGTTGCTGCTGGTAGGCAAAAATAACATTCAATTATGTATAAGAAATTACTTTATACATGAGAAATTACTAAAATGCCATGTTAAGAAGAGTCTCCTAATGCTTCAGTGACCATACAAAAGTTAGGTTCAACTTCTGCAGCCACTGAACTGGTTTGTTAGCTTGGATCACCACCAACTAGGTGCATAATTTACTTTTTTTACTTTAAAAATGAATGGAAACTTTTAAAATTTACTAGATCCAGCACATTAAGATATACTTTCTGAAAAGCAAATTATTTTTTATGTTCTCTATGTTATCGTATACTTCCCCCAGAGTTTTTCTAGTAAAAGTCTGTACACATCAGCAGCAAGCACTTTCAGGCAGCATAAGCCCCTCTGTTTTTCTCCTTCTGAGAAAAGCGTGAAAGGATCTTCCTACTTCAAGCTGCATTACAGTAAGTTACAAGGAAAGGAAAACTAATCATAAGGGATACATGCATCCCCTCTTTCTTCATCCCATCCTTAATATCACTTTAAAGGAAATTCCCGCCATGCACATTATTGCACACAAAGTTCCTATTGCAAACAATTTTACTACTGAGGTAAGACTTAGAACAAAAAAAAAAACACCTCAGACCTTCTCATCTGATTCTCTGCTGAACATTTCAAGTAAAGAACACACAGCTCAAATGCTATTTCACATGCCTTCAGCAAACAAACAGAGCACATCAAGTGCAAAAACATAGTAACAAAACCATTATTCAGTCTTTTGGGAGTTATTCTTGAAAGGAGAAATGTATAGAAGGTTTTTTTAGTACAAATAAAGACACCATGCATTTTATTCTAGTGAAACATTAGACAGGACTTTCTTTTGAAACGTTACAATGTATGCAAGCTTATGTGTTTAAAAAAATTAATATATTTAATGAACATAGCTTAATTATCAGTTGAAAAATTTACCCCAAAAGTATTCAAGGGCAAGACATTATACATACACAAACTGTTGACAAAGTACGTGCAAAACTAGTGTACTACCATTGTTCTCAAGAGACAGTTAGTAGAGAAGCTATTCAACAGGTAAATTTGCTAAACAGCAAACAAAAGCACAACAAAATAAGCAGTGACTTGAGATATCCCAAAAGGCATCAAGCTACTGTTGGTAGAAACTTCAAGAGGCAATCAACTTGTTAGCATTATATTGCTACGGAGGATAACGATAATGGTTTTGTTTTAGTTGCTTAATAGGCTGTCTATGTATGTTCTTCTCTCCTTTGCCCAGTTGCCAAATACCCACACCCACTCCCTTTTAAAAAACAAAGTCTTCTGAAATTCCGCGTGCAGAGAACCAGATAGCTATCAATAAGCCTTTACAAGCAAGAACAACTAGCCACAAGAAACTTGATACCAAATGTGGCCACCTACCAAAATGAGCCTGAGGAAATATGTGAGAGTGCATTGCTCCCGAGAGGCCTTATGGAAGCCACAAAGAGACCAGACAATGTCAAATCATTTATACACTCTTGAACAGTCATTTCTTAGTTATATATACACGAGAGAGAAATATACACACATGTACCAAACAAATTGTTCATAGCACGACCAGCAATAGATTAAGCTAAGAAAACCATTAGAAATAAACACTACAAAACAGATCTCCCATGTAATAAATAGCGAAGTTCATGCAGAAAGAAAGCTTAGCATCAAAGGACAAGCTACAAGTTTATACTTTACACCGAAAGGGGAAGAATATTATCTTTACTTATAGTCATTATCTGTCACCTAGTACATAACATCAGTATAGCTGCCACAGGGTTGGAACCTCTGCAAGCCAAAGACAGGAGTTTAGAAGGAAGGATAGAGTTGTTGTATTGAAACAAATTTATCTAAAGAGGCCGTAAGTTCTTAACAATGACCCAAAATTCAGTGTTTTAAAGAAAACTACAAGTTTGCTTTTTTAAAAAGTGATTAACTTTTTGTCTATGGGCAAATTCTACAGAATCCTTCCCCAGACAATTAATGTAATTCATGAGCATAAAGATTATATTTAAACATAGGCATTACTGTTACAAAAGAGAAAAATAAAGGATGCCACCAATTTACTGAATAAGTGGACTGGTGAGGAGCTAACAGCCCAAAAGTCTTGTCTTTCCTGGTTCTAGCTCCAGCTCTTTCGTTTTAAGGGCTTTCAGGACTTTGAAATAAAGAAGTTAAAAAAGCAAGTGTACCAGCTTAGCAGTTGGGCTTTCAAGACCCCTGATTTCAGGGCAATCTGCTATGAAGCATGCTTCAAAGCTGAGCTTATTCTTTTGGAAGGTACCTAACGGGTAACACGCAGACTATGAATAGCTTAAGTAGTATCAGATCTTACACGTATCGGCTTGACATTTTTTCATGGCCACCAATTGAAATCCTAGAATTGGGCCAGAAACAGGAAAATTATGTCCTCAGTCCAATAAAAAAAAAGTCAGTTGTCTCAAAAAAAAAAGTTTAAGTTGATTTCTGCAGTTTATTCATAAATACGCTACATTAAACAAACACACAACATGTCAAATAGACTAGAGAGACAGATAATATGGAAAGTCTTTAAGGAACAAATTACACAGCTATGAAAAAAGAAACAATGCAAGTCTTGAAAGAAAGTCTCCCAAACACTTGGTTGTTTTTTCTAACCTGTTGCTCCTCGGCTACTGGTCTGGAATGGATTTGTTGAAGGTGCCACTGGGGCAAGAGGGGCAGCTACAAATGGATTTGTGGAAGGTGTTGCTGAAAGATTAAAAACATGTTATTTAATAGAGTCTTTTAAAAATAGCCAGTCTGACTCATAAGTTTATACAGCTTTTATACAGACATAAATTAATATCTAAAATGACATGAAAAATTAAGAATTTATACTAAAATGCTTAATTTGAAATGCATCAGAGCAATAGTACTTTTTTGGTATCCTTTAGAAACTTCAATATCACTAGTGTCAAAGTACAGCACTATCAACTAGAAATTAGTAAGATGTTTGCTTACAGTCCATAAAAGATGTTAGTAACACTTATATACCTCCAAACGGAGCAGGCACACTTGAAGATGCAGGCTGTGTCTGTGCAGTAGCAGCCACGGGTACTGTTCCAAAAGCATTGCTGAAAATAATTCATACATTCAGTGAAGTCAGAATTGCTTGTTTCACAATTAAATACAACTTACAATTATTGTTGGCATGTAAAAAAATAGAAAAAGAATGCTTACGTGCAATTTGCAAACTGCAATATAATTCACTGATGTCAGGAACTGAGCCCCTGATGCCAGGGTCAGAGACTATAACTAGTGCTGAGCAATGAAAAGTCATCTTCATCAACAGCACAAGAAAGAATATTGAACAGACGCCATCAGCATAAAGGTTGCAAAGCAGAAGCTTTAGAAGCACTTGCAATACCAAGCAGAGCTATAACAGGCATTTGGTATTTATTACTTCAATGATCTAAAAAAGAAGTAGTTGGCACCATTTACATTATAAGTATCTGAATATTTTTTTGGCAAGGATGATGCTATGATTTTCAGTACGCATGCAAATATTCTGCACAGGAAAGTGTTACCATCTCACAGGTTTAGCACGTAATGACTAGAAAGCCACAGTGAACATTCTGCTGACAGAAAGCATTCTTAATTTTATCTCGTAATATCCTATCAGACAGTACTGCTATTATTAAAAACAAAGGATCCAGTCTCAGTACTACCTCTAAACTCATTCAACATTCCCCATTTAGATAAGAAATAAAAACAGATTCGAGAAACAACTTGGAGCAACTTTTTTGCATATTGCTGCAGTCGATGTAGAAAATCAGCTACTTCTAACAAAGTACCTGCTAACGTTACTGGTGGAAGGATAAGCATTACTAGAGGTTGCTGTGGAGCTGAACACACTGTCCAATTCTGCTAGAGCCGCATACTTGTCTGAAGATGCACTTGACTGATTTGGGGCTGACAATGCAGGACCTGCTGATGTAGACACTCCTGTACTGAAGCCACTTACTTGCTCACTACCACCTAGAAAGAAAGAAATCACATTAAAAGTGATGAAGATGGTTTCACTTTCTGCCCTGCCAACGCTGAGAACTAAATGAAAGTTCAAGGACAGTAAGTTTCAGACTTAAAAATTAAAATATGCACCACAGCATACAGAGGGAAAAAGTTTAACAAGTCAGTAGCTATTAAATAAGTGTCATGCTTTTATAGATATTCTACAGCTCCAAAGTGTCTCTGGTTTCCCTGGGAAATGACGACTTAATACTACTGTCATCTTCAACTAGAAAATTTATCAAAACACATACCCTCACATAATGCATTTCAGAACAACGCTCTACATTACAAATGAAGACAAGTTTTCACACACCACTTGAGAAGAAAAAAGTTACAGAATAATTAGGTTTTTCTCCTTGAAGTCATCTAAATCCAAGCATCACTGCTACTAGTTTATAAAAAACTAAAGCCAAATCTTTTAGCAGCAGAGAAGTAGGAAAGCTACTCTGGCTGTTCTCTGCACCAACTGTAGCTCTCTATCCAGCAGCCTTCACTATAGGTTTTAGCATAAATATATAAAAATAAAAATATATGTATTTTTGTCATTCTAGATACAATTATTTAGATATTTCCACCTAGAATTATTTATCTCCATAGGAAGTAGGTTTCCAAAAAGCAGTCTTCTGATGACATCCTTTTAGAGTCATGTTAGTCTTAAAACTTACATCTTGCATATTAAGGGTACACTGACATGAAATTCTACAAGAAAGGACATTTTGAAATACAGTTACTGTTTTGATAGGCACAGCCATCCTTGTGGTAAGTATACACATGTAGAATAAGCATGTCAAAGAAAAGAGTTTAATACCTTGTCCTGCACTGAAGATATTATCTAAATTAGCAAGAGCTGCATATTTGTCAGCTGACTGGAGATTCGGTTTATTCACTGCAGCTTTACTGGCCGCAGTTGCTGTGGTGTTGCTCTGGGAAGTGTTGAAGGCTCCAAAATCAGCACTGGAGGATTTGGGGAAGTTATCAAAGTGAGCAAAGTTAGCATTCACTGATCCAGCACCTCCACCTGTAACAAATTAAGTTAAACATCATCAACACTCCAAAGCTAGAGAAAGTCTCTCCAACTACAACTGATGGCACAATAATCCCACCTCTTTTTGGCTACGTGAGGCAACATGTTCCCCCATCCCATCCCAGACGTTTAAGACCTTTTCCCATTTCCTTCAAAGTTACTCTGGGCCAACAGAATTAATTTTTTTTTTTTTTTTAACACATTTTTCAGTCTGTAGAGCAGGGATCAGAAAAACCCCAAACTTCAGCAGCTTACATTACAGTCATAATTTGATCATGAAATATGTTATTTATTAGCTGTTAAGCTAATTTCAATAATATTTTGCTAGAAAGTAAGTATTTGTCTGAATCTTTAACATTCAAAATACAGAAGCTTCATTTTCCTGCCATTTGTGTCCAATGAATAGCTACTATTTGCATTTACTTAATGGTACAATGTTTAACCATTTCAGATGTCAGTCATCATTCTAAGCAAAAAAAAGCACCCAGAAGTCCAAAAGTACGATGTCATGCCAAGGTTTAGAGAGATAGTTTGGTTCTCTGTTTTTAGACTACATCCAATCAGTAAAGAGGTGAGGGGGAAGACACAACGCAGCTCTTTTTATACCAAGTCTCCACTGACATCAGAGATACATAAATCAATTTTAAAAATCTGACTTAGGTCCACACAACTGAACTTCAGTTCAAATAGGAAACCATGAGCTTCCACCTCTTCAGTGTCCAGACAATTTAATCTAGGCAGGTCACATACTTAAATTTAAATGAGTTGTTCCATTAAGTGCATCATATTTTATAACAGTTGTTTGAAGGATTCTACTCATACTACAGAGCACACAACGTTCTAGTAGCATAATAAGTTAAAACATATGCAACAGTGGGAATGAAAATGCTATACTACAATGGCATAAAATGAAGCAAGCTGAGTTTTCCACTGTGTGGAACTTACTGTGTACAGCCTGGAGAGGAAAAGCTGAAGTAAATTCACCAAAACTGCAGCTAGATGAAAGCGTTCTGAACGCTGGACAGCCAGAAATTGTGTGTGGGTTAAAGTTAACATAAGAAGGGAGAAAGAAAATTTGAAAAAAAGTTTAAAACGACACCACACTCAAAAGAAAAAAAAAAAAGGAAAAGAAAGTCAGTCAGCCAAAGATCTAGACAAGCAGCAAGTGTAAGCTCAAGCAGAAGTTCTAAAGCATGGTCAAATTAAAGGAAAGCAAAATAAATCTTAGCAATAGGCTCTACACATGAAGTCAAATATACTGAAGTGTGTGCATATGTTATATATACACGCATAGACACACTTTTTTTTGGTACTGTAACATGCTTTTGGGTCTACTGAAATACTTCTCTTAGAGTCAATTCAATATTTTTCAAAAGCAATATGGTTTACTCTTTGCATAGTTATTTCAGGTGTAGAGCTAACAAACACATAGTGCGATAAATCAGACTTCTGAGTAGCATTAGGAAAAAAAAGAAAATCAACACCAAACAGAAGGAATTCATTTTGAGTTTCCCCAGAGCTTCAGATGGCTTGACTGCATTGAAGCAGGCAGATGCAAGAAATACTCAAGTACCTTCCAACATAAAGGTGAGGATTATTTCAATTAAGTATTACTCAAAAGTGCTAGGAGTTCTACCTGTATTTTGGGGCTGAAAAGAAGACTGACTTGCTGTGGGGAAACTTCCAAAATTACTCGAGCCACTAGACTGTCCAAATGCATCAAAGTTTGCAAAACCTGCATTTGCAGAGTTCTGCGCTGTAAATTGCAAAGGAACAAAACACGTTAATGGATATGGGAAATAAACACAAAACCAGATGTATTAACTGAATTAATGGTCATGACAGCCTCCAAGGGTTATGTCCTACCTTGTAATTTCTTTTTACATGAAAAAATTATATGTGATATTCTACAATTTAAAGTTGTCTTAGAACAAGCTTTCACGAATCACCTTCACAGAGCTGTACCAGTTAATGCTACTTCTCTCCTCCTCTCACCTGCTACTACTCACAACTACATGACCTGATGAAGTCCAGTTCAGCTTAACCCTAGAGTGTTTGCAGTGGTGGCTGGTCAGGGAAAACATAGTCAAAAAGTACAGAATACCAGATATGCATACACCTGTAGAATCCAAACCACGTATCACACTAAATACTACTTTCCAAAACTAGAATTTGTGAACTAACTGAACACATCTTTGGGAATAAAAATTACAACATATTCTTGAAACATACTGACAATTTGAATTCCTCACATACAAAGTGCTTCTTCCTTGAATGAATTTAGATTGGCACTGCTTGAACACTTTTAGCTAGGTTTATAAATTCATTTCACCGGAAAATTCAGTTTCTAAAAAACTAAATCAGAGTACAAAAATATGGAAAATCAATACCAATGTCAAGAAGATAGCATTCATAGAGTGTATCCACAAAATAAAATCCAAGGAAATTTCAAATAGAATTTCAGTTTTCGCCTTCCTTTCATGCCATACTATAGGAGAAAATAAAAGTTAACATCCATCTAATTTCAAACAGTTGTACATTCAAGCATCTATAGATTTAATAGGAATTGGGTGCCTTAACTGATAAGCTCCACAGAAAGTTAGATACTACCATAAGGAAGGAGTAAGGGGAAAAAAACCATTTTTAATCAAATGCAAACCAAACCCTTATGTATAGGTAACTTGAGTTATCATCTAAAGAAAGCCCACAAAACACCTTCTACAATAACAGACGGCAATATATTATATTTTTGGGTCAGGATTTGTTTATTCTGGAGGGATTCTGAGGATTAAGTATATACAAAACCAATAAATTAGGCTGATTGTTTTAAGTACTGTTACTTAATAACCAGATAATGCCAATAAAAAGTTGCACCACTTAATTTCTATTAAAAAAGCACCTGTACTACAAATTTATAAACTACAAGGGCATTTTTATACAAACTACTGTATTCCACAATGTTGCTAATGTAAATGAAAGTGCAAGTATTTCCCTTCCCAAGGGATACTGGGAGAGAGAGTGAAGTTTGAGTCTACTTGATACCACTTTTTATTAGAAGTGTGCACGCATATGGGGTTTAGATGGCATGGTTTTGGTAGCAAGGGGCTGCAGGGGTGGCCCCTGTAAAAAGACATCAGATGCTGCCCCCATTTTGAACAGCCAGTTTCAGCCAGCTCCGAAACAGACCTGCCACTGCCCAAAGCTGAGCCCATCAGCAATGCTGGTGGCACCTCTGTGGTAACATATTTAAGAAATAAAACAAAAAAAATCACTGTGTAGCAGCTGTGAGAGAGAAGCAAGAAAAATGTGAGAGAAACAATCTCCCAGGCACCAAGGTCAGTGAAGAGGGAGGGGGAGGAAGTGGAGCACTGGAGCAGAGATTCACAGCCCATGGAGAAGACCATGGTGAAGTAGAAGGTTGTTCCCCTGCAGCCCATGGAGGACCACAGCGGAACAGATTATCCACACTGCAGCCTGTGGAGAACCCCACACCAGAGCAGGCATAGGTGTCCTGAAGGAAGCTGGAACCTGTGGAAAGCCCGTGCTAGAGCAGGCTCCTGGCAGGAGCTGTGGTTAATGGAGAGGAGCCATAACACTGTGGGGGGCCCACGCTGGAGCAGTCCATGCCTGAAGGACCATTCCCCACGGAAAGGACCCACGCTGGAGGAGTTCTTGAAGAACTATAGCCCATGGGAAGGGCCTATGTCAGAGACGTTTGTGAAGGACTGTATCCTTTTGCAGGGAAGGGACCCCACAATGGAGCAGGGGAACAGCATGAGGAAGAAGAAACAGCAGAGATGAACTGACTGCAACTCCCATTTCCCATACCCCTCAGGGGGAGGAGGTAGAAGAGTCAGGAGTGAAATTGAACCTGGAAACAAGAAGTGAAGGTGGTTTCGGTTTTGTTTTTGTTTTTCACTATCCCACCCTATTATTAATTGACAATAAATTAAGTCAATCCTCTCCCAAGTCACGTCTGTTTTGCCCATAACAGTAACTGGCAAGTGATCTCCCTGTCCTTATCTTGGATCACAAGCTTTTTTCATCATGTTTTTTCCTCCCCATCCTGCTGAGGAAGGGGAGAGAGAGAAGCTTGGTCAGCACCTGGCAGCCAGCCAAGGTCAACCCACCACAGCATGAGAGTCACCAAGGAAGGGAGCATGGGGGTGGAAATCAATAAGGAAAAGCAAGGTCTTGGGAAAGTTCTGTCCTAAAATTTTCACCTTTAAAATGCGCAAGGAGAAAAAGTTGACACAAACAGAGGAACAATAGTTTCTATTACACCATCTGTAGTGGTTCAAACAGCAGTCTACAGATTTCAAATTCCACAGTGTTTTTGTTTGTTTGTGGGTTTTTTTTGTTTTTAAAGCAGTAGCTTTTTAAGAGGAATAAATTAAGAATCCAGTTGCACCTTGCTTTAAAATCAAAGTGATGCTTTCATCCTGATGCATCAATTAGATAGGGGCTACTTGGAGATCGATGTTTAAGTTAACCAAATAGAATTAAGTACATACATGTCACTCCTAGAACTGTGACAATTTTTTTCATTTTAACTACTCACACAAACAGAATACTACATCAAGAATCTTAAAAGAAATATCATTTGGGTCTAGATGAAAAACTGGAACATATTATATTACAGTCAACTTCTAACAACTTCATTGAATTAGCTGACACAAAGTATGATTTGCAAGTAGGCCCATGTTAAACAGTGGAGCTGTAAAGACTCTTCTGCAGAGCATTCAGATGTTAATCTTGCTTTATTTTATGTGGTAAAGTTTAAACCTATGTAAAAGTGGCTGTCATGGTTTGATGTGGAGGGGGT